TTCTGACCATAGCGACCCTGCAGAGGGTTTCCAAGGAGCAACTGGTGAGCTTGAACCGCTGACCTTGCGGTTCAAACCGACTTTGCAGCCCAGTGCATTAATTAACCCACAGCGCCACACCAGGACTTCTATGCAATATCTAAAATAGGCAAATGCATGAGGACCAAAGTTTATGAGTGGTTACCAGGGGCCGTGGGAACGCGGCGATATGGGGAGTCCTGAGGTTTACTGTGTTTCTGTGATGGTGGTGGTGATACTTGCAGAACATGGTGAATGGAATATCACTGAGTTGTACACTTGAAAATGGTTTAAATGATACACGTTTATCATATATATTGTGGTGGTGGTGATCACTGAGTCGATTCCGACACATGGCGGCCCCCCTGTATGCAGAGCAGAAAACCCTGGCTCCCTAGGGTTTTCAAGAAGATTACCAGGTCTTACTTCTGAGGGGCCTCTGAGTGGATGTGAGCTACCAACCTTTCAGTTCGTAGTCTGGTGCTTAACCATTTGTACCAATCACAGGGACTTCTATATATAAAAAGATACTCCAAGATCTTTCCGGTCCATTTCTTCATGAACTTTTTACCACATCAAAATTAATTTTACAAATAAATTACATTTGATCCAGTGGAACTGCTGCAGGGTCAAACCCCATATCCTCGGCCAGGTTTCTGATGCTTACAGCCAGGTGACCCCTCCCTGATTTACCCAGTAGCAGCTTTGGAAAAGGTTGCATCTCTAGTCTGTGTTCCACCCTCCCCTCCCCGGCCCCTTCTGGAGGCAGGGAGCTCATTAAAAGGAGCACCAACCACCCACATTAGGTCCTGGGTGTGCTGTTAGTTGTATGTGAAGGGCCTACATTCATCACCACACAACGATTCCGTCAATTACAGCAGCAGAATCAAAGTGTGAGAAGGGCACTTGGGGATTGTATCTGCTATTGTCCTTGGGAGAGCGGAGAAGGATAACAAATGTGCAGGCTGATGGTTTTTCTCTCCACAAGGCTCTCAGGACGTGCTGGTTAGGAATAATGGAGGAGGAAGCTGCCCCTTCAGCACAGCCTGATGCATGGACAGATCAAGCCCGACTCTCCGAGCAGGCGATGTGTCTGCTCTTCCTGGCAGGCCAGCATCTTTTATTGATCACAACTGCCTGAGTGGGCCCTGGTTACCTCTGCGGCTGCAAAACCTTCCCCAGCCTGGCAGCTTCATCGGCCCTTCCCTGTGGAGACCCATTAGCAGCGTGCTCTCAGCAACACACCCTGATTCCAGGCCTCAAAAAGGGAGCATGATGCGACTGGGTGTTGCCAGCACAAACGCAGCATGATGGCATGAATCTGTCAACCCGGGACCTCATTTCACTGGGGACCCATCAGCCCTCACAAACCAGCACTGTGAAATGCCCTTGCCTGGCTTCCTACCACAGTCAGCATCGATTTCCCGGGTAGGCAGTATGCCTGGAGGTGGATGGGGCAGCCATCCCAGGAGGACCGGCTCCACCTCGTGGGATCATCAGTAGGCCTCTGTAGACATGTGACATGCCCTCAGGACCTGCAGGCCCCTCCCAGGACCCCCACTCTGGACTGTCTTCACCAGTGCTGTTGAGAAAACCAAGCACCAATCCAGACAGCGGCGCTTAACCCCTGCAAGCACCTCCGTCTTTCAAAAAGCTCCTTCGATGGGTCAACACTGGTGACGCATGGGCCAAAAGGGGCTTTCTTTTGCGTGTAATACTTTCAAAACTCTGAAATTGTTTCTGAAGGTTTAAACATCAGGAACCATCTCCAACAATCGGGATTTGCAGCTATGCTTATGGAAACTGAATGCCTAACCATCCCGGGGCCAGCAGTGCCACATGGCAGCTGCCCCTTCAGAGGCGGTGTGAGCTCTCCCAGGCCCTATTGCAGTCCCCACCATTCCCTGAGCTCTGGCCTGCGTCACTGCACTGCCCCTTCTCACAAGGCCACCATTTGCTTTGCCTGCTCAAGGATTAAGCTCAAGATCAATCCTCCACACGGTTTGCTACATCGGACACTGGCATCTTCTACCTAACATCAAGTGACCATCCGGGGCCCAAGGCTGGCTTTGCTGCCTTTCTTTCCAAGGAGCACAGTCCATGGGCTTTATCATATATGGCTGGGACCACCTGCAGTTTGATGAGACCGAGTGAGTAAGCGCTGGCCTGACATAAAGAGCTTCCGGTCACCTTCCAGGAGTCCTGGTATGGCTCTGTGGGTTAATGCACTGGACTGCAAAGTCGTTTGAACCACAAGGTCGGGTGTTCAGGCTCACCAGCCACTCCTCAGAAACCCTATACAGACTGGCTATGAGTCAGAACCGACTTGACAACATTTAACAACAAACCACCTTCCAAGATCGAGTGACTCAAGTTACCTCGAGCACCTGGGAGACCCCTCCCAGTCCAAGTAATTCCGTGCAGCAATTTGCACTTGTGGGAAGGTTCATTTCAAGCCACAAAAAATTAAAGGCAGGTGGGAGCCTGTGTCACCTCCACAAACATGTCCTGCATTTGTGACGGGACAAGAACAAAGGTCTAGGGCAGTGAGTCTGGGTCCTGAGTTCCTGAGGCTGCAGCTGCAGTTACCTACCTCCCTGTAAATGGGGTAAGGGTCATGCCTCCCCGCTGTGTGTGCCCTGTTATTGGAACCCACGGGTGCTGCACAGGGTGAAGTGCTTGTCCCACTGTCATCAGGCGTCCTTGTTTCCAATAAGGACAGCAGGAGAAGCAATAGTGCAATTGATGGATGATGCGAGGGCTGATGATGGAGCGCTGCAGAAAGCTCCTGAGCCTGAGAGTCTGAGCTTTGAACTCCGGTGAAGGCTTCATTTAAGACTGCTTTATAAATGAAGATGCGGCACGAGCCGGCCTGTGTAGCTGCAATTCTACACCATCACAAAGGCTGTGCCTGTCTCACACTCAAGACCTAGCTCTAGTTCACTGCCTTGAGTCTACCTGAGTCCAGGTTCTCTTTCTTCTCCCCACAAAACACTGTTTAAACAGAGTTGGGTTTGTGAGGCTATAAAACTTTACAGAGGTGGTGGTGGTTGTTTGGTGCCATCAAGTCAGTACCGATTCATAGTGACCTTATGCACAGCAGAACGAAACACTGCCCGATCCTGGGCCAACCTCACTATTGTTGCTTGAGACCATCGATGCTGCCCCTTGGCCAATCCATCTTGCTGGGGATCTTCCTCTTTTTCTCTGAGCCTCCACCTTACCAAACATGATATCCTTCTCCAGCGACTGGTCGCTCCTGACAATATATCCGAAGTATGAGAGACAAAGTTTGGCCATCCTGTCCTCCAAGGAGCACTCTGGCTGTACTTCTTCCAACACAGATCTCTTGGTTCTTCTGACAGCCCATGGCACTTTCAGTATTCTCCTCCAACACCATAACTCAAAAACATCAATTCTTCTACAGTTTTCCTTAGCTACTGTCCAGCTTTTGCATGCATATGAGAGTATTGAAAATACCATGGCTTGGGTCAGGTGCACCTTAGTCCTCAAGCTGACATCTTTGCTCTTCAAGGTTTTAAAAAAGGTCACCTTTATCTTTCTTCCACAGAGTTGCTGGTGGGCTCAAACTGCCAACCTTTACGTTATCAGCCCAATGCTTAACTCTCTGTATTACCAGTATTCCTTTATGACCTCATTGTTATTGTGAAGTGCCATTGAGTTGGTACTGACTCATAAAGACCCTGTATAGGGTGGGTTTGAACCACTGACCTTATGGTGAATAGTCCAGTGTGTATTCTACAGCACCACACCTGGACTCCATGACCTTGTTGCTGTTGTTAAGGTGTTAAGTGCCATCAAGCAGGTTCCAACTCAAGGCGACCCTGTACAGGGTTTCCAAGGAGTGGTTAGTGAATTTGAACCAGCTGGTGGTTCAAATTGACCTTACAGGCCAGTGTTTATCTTACAGCACCACACCACAACTCCATGACCAGGTTGTTGTTAAGTGCTGTCGAGTCAGTTCTGATACGTAGTGGCCCTATATAGAGTTTCCAAGGAGCAGCTGGTGGGTTTGAACCACCAATCATGTGGTTAGCAGTCCAGTGCTGATCCTGCAGCACGTCATTGGAGCTCCGTGCAAACACATGTTCAGTCTATTTTAGATCCTATACTCAGAGATCAAGAGGAAGGTTACATGCAAATTAACAGACTCTTCAGATGCTATAAGTAATCCCCAGAACTTGGTATTAAAACCACAGGACATAAAACGCAGACCCTTCTCCCTCTGCAGGCTAAGTAAGCAGAAGATACTGGCAGAAAGAGGCCTCAGTGGCCCCCTGGATATGAGCTGTGTTCCTTCACATGGCCCTGGGGGAACTGTAGTCAGAGTACCCAATGACAGAACGGACAGGCCTCTGGTATACCAGGGAGACTCTGCAGTGTCAGCAGCGACAGCTCTGGCCCCCAGGGGACCACAGGGCTCCCCGTTGCGTCCCCACCTCTTCCACAGCCTTGCCCTTGGAGCAGTTATGTCGGGCAGCTATCACCTGCCTGGATCCAGGATAGACCTCCAGGTCCTGGAACTCACACACCAGGCCACAGGAGAGACCAGGCAACCAAACTGGAAGTGTATGAAAGCCACGTGACCCCTGAACTCTACCTCACCCCACAGACGTTCAGATTTTCCAGACAGCAGCATCCACAGGCCCCAAGGGATTGAGGAAGGCCTCACAGTACACAAAGGCCCAGGCCTTGGGGGACTTGGATCCCATGTTCTGTCCGTGCTGCAGGTCCCCCTCTCCAATGCACGTCTCGGTGGCCACCAGCCACTTCTACTGAACTAAGCTCTGCCCCAGTGCCAAGACGTCTGCAGAGAGGTCTGGGATGTATGAGTCCTGCCTACTGGCTCCAAAGGAGGACACTCCTGAGGGGACTGGGTCATGGCAGCAGGGAACAGAGATCAAACAGGAGGAAGGCTACTGAGCTCTGAGCTGCTCCGAGAGCACGTAGCTGCTGCTTACCTCATCTGTGTACTGGACGTCGTCCACAGCATACTTCTCCTTGAAGTGCTCCCTGGGATGGATCCTCAAAGAGAAGCAAAAGGAATGCCAGGTCAGAGCCGGGCAACAGCTCAGCCCAGACCACCTTCCTGCCCACCAAGCCCATGCCTGTCCCTTCCACAGCTGACACTGAATGGGACTGCCTGACACAAGTTCAGAGGTTCAAGGGTCACTGAGCCACTAAATGACCCCAGCGGTAGACACTCCCTCATCACCTCCCACCACTGGCAGCAGAGCCCACCCCACCACCCTTGGGACGCGCAACAAACTGCCTCCCACTCGACTGAGCCTCTTTAAAGGAGAATAGAAGGGTCAATGAACATTTGAAAGTAGTCGATATCAGTCTCACTCGGTGTAAAGAGTAAATGCCAAGTTTACTCATCACATCAGAGAGAGCCGCCTGTGAGAAGGCAAAGATGCAGAACAGACGAGGTGGGGAGCCCTCGTCCACCTTGCAAAGGGCTCCCAGCTTGCCGCCCTCCCACCAGGTAGGGTTCCGGCCTGGCTCCAGGTCTGTCTGGAGGCAGATGGGTCAGTGTCACTGCTGGCAACAGAATTGGCATGAGGAGGGACACTTAGTGAATGAGGGCAATGTGCTGAGCCAACACCAAGGGTACACACCTCGCCATCCCACACATTCCCACACGGAGGCCTGTCCAAGGCCTTGAATAGCTATTGTCACCAGGTGTGAGAGCCAAAAGAGGCCACAGAAGGAAGCAGCAGATGGTGCTCCCAGGGCTCTCAAGGGCGGGAGGGGCATGACAGGGACGTGGGGAAGGATGCAGAGGACCTGGGAAGGCCCACAGAAAACAGGGCAGAGGACCTAGAGACTCGGAAACGGTTTCCTTGAAGAGCAGCTTCCGGTGGTGACATCCCAAGTATCTGTCACTCTTGTCCTTTGTAGAGCAATGCCGATGGCCAGCATCACTGCCCAGAACACAGAGCCCCTCTCTGCTCTCTGGACCTCTACCAGTCCACGCTCCACCCACCCAAGTGTCCTGAACCAGGCTGCGGCAGGGACAACAGACAGGAGGGGTCTGAGGCCAGGTGGGTGAGTCAGCAGTAGGCCTCCACGGCACAGCCACACACAGCCGGCAGGGCTCAGGGACAAAACTCACCTGTAGAGGGGAACACTCTGGCCTCAATGTGCCTGCTTAATGCAACCCCCAGAGCTCTCTGCTGGACCTCCCTCTTGGTTTCTCTGAAGTGGTCCCTGGCTGTCAAGCGCCTATTAATTAAATTAATTAAATTTGCAAAACGCAACCACGTTCATTTCCTTGTTTGAGACAGGACCAAAAGTTAAATGGGCAGATCAAAAGGGCAGCATGTGGCCAGGGATAAAGCTCAGAAGGCAGGAAAGGACAGGAAGGAAGGATCAACAGAAGCGGAAACACAGAAAGGAAGGGGGAAGAGTCCAGTTACAGCATGGAGACTGCAATCAACATCAGAACACAGAGTGCAACCAATCTGCCTTGTAAACTTATTTGCAAATCACAAGAAAAAAATCTTAAAAAAATGTCCGATGGACAAACTCTGACACCTACGAATATTTGCAGAGCATGTATTGATGACAACCACCTCATCATCATGTATTGATCACCAGCAATTCCCTGGACTCTGGAGACACCAGACCCGGGGCTTATGACTGTTTGCTACTGAGCAGTAACATTCTCAGCACAGAGTTCACTCTGTCATTGCTGTTACATGCGGTGGAGTCCGTTCAGACTCATGGCCACCCTGCATACGGTTTCTGAGTCGCCAACCTTGCGGTTAATAGTTCAGTGCTTATCCTACAACCCCACACCAATACTCCTGCAGCCACACACAGAAACGCAAGCCAGGGAACAGGAGGCAGGGTCATCAGTGAAGTGTGTCTGTACGTCATCACTTGCCAGCTCAATCCTTGCTCCAGGACAGACGTACATCCCAGACATACATCCCCAGCAAGCCCTGATGTGTCTCTGGTCTTCAGTCATCTCATTAACTAATACCAGCTGTGACGTGCCTGGGAAGCACACTGCCAACAGGTCTGGGGAATGCAGAGGACCTGGCCTCTGCCTACAGAGAGGCACCTTGACCATTAGCATGGGCACCTAGCTCGTCCACCCCCACTTCTATGTTGTTTTTAGCTGCCATCGAATCGACTCCTGTCTCAGGTGACCTCAATAGGATTGGACTTGTGCTTCCCGGGCTGATGTCTGGAAGGAGATCACCAGGCCTTTCTTCCTAGTCTGTCTTCATCTGTGAGCTCCCGGGAAACCTACGCAGCATCATAGAAACACATGCTACAGCACTTGAGGAGCACCAGGCAGCAATGAAACCGGGGTCTCCAGCATGGAAGGCAAGAATTTTCAACCACTGAGCCACCACCAACCCTCCCAGCTCACCCAAACAGCTGTCAGAGGAAGTCAGTAGGCAATGTGTTCCCATTCTCACTGCCAAAAAAGCCTCAGTAGTTAGGCCTCATCACCTGGGAACATATCCATGAAGTACCTTTATTTTATATATACAAAGAACACACACATTATGCATTTTTTTCCCAAATGAGCAAACTCCTCCTGTCTGCCTCCCCCCGCCCCCCACAAACTATTTTTGCCAGCATGCTATGCCAATTAATTTCCTAGTGTTACATGTTTGGCCACTTTATTTGGGACAGGGAGGAGTGGGGAGGCAGGTACTATATGGTAAACTTGAGGTCAAGGTCTTAATGTGGAACGAGAAGAGATGGGAGGAGGGGAGGCAAAAGGGGGTGAACTATGGGGGGATCCCAGGGCTGTGCATGCCCCCCCTCAGTCACCATCTATAATGCAGGTCACAGAGAGATGAGGGTGGGCAGCCCACAGGGGGTCCTGCTGCTTCCACCCCATGCACAGGGGGGAGTGAGCTCAGGGCTCCAGCCCCACCAGATACCCTCTTCCATTGAGGTGCCTGCTCGCCTCACTGAAGGCCAGCTGGACCACAGCTGGGTCTTGGAGGTCTCAAAAGTCACATCACCAGTGGCAGGCCTGGTTCAGCTCCAGAACAACCATTCCACAGACAAAACCTGAAAAGCTGTGATCATCTTTCCCAGCGCTTCGTGTTTCATTCTTTTTAAAAGGGCAGAGATAATTAAGTTTGAATAGTACTCCTTTTTCATGTTTCGGGAGATAATTAGAATGAAAATCAGTTAAATGTCACCCAAGTGGATAAGCATGCCAGGCTGCCACATCAAACCAGCACCAAAAGATCAGCAGTCACAATTTGAGGGGGTGGGGGCGGGGAGTAATAGAACGAGTGGCATGTGTCCACACGAGCCCCGCAAGCCTGGAAAAGTCACTGGGCTTGCTGGAGGGCCAGACGGGTCAGGGCTATGTGGCTACTGCAATGGCCTACACCCACACCTGTCTGGAGTCTGGCATCCAGCCAGGTCTCTTCAAATGGGAGATCCAAACAGAAACAACTGCATTGGGAGAGGGTGTCATCAAGCCAGGGGCAGGGGTGGGGAAACTGTTCCTATTCATAAAGCCCTCCCTTCCAGTGGAAGGGGCAGCTCAGATGAGAGAGGGGAGAGATCCCAGACTCAGAGGGGTCCGTGTCCCCAGGAGGAGGCTGGTGTCCACAGGTGGGCCCTAGCACAAGCTCGAGGTCAAAGCAGATGTCTGCTCACAGCACAGAGAGGGCCCACATCCTGTGCATGGTGTCCTGCGGGAAGGGGATCTTAAATGAATGCCGTGCCGTGCAGGCACCACAGAGCCCTCCAGAAAATGAAATTTCAAAGAGCAGGTCTTGCTGGCTAGCTGACCACCTGCGTGTGGTTAATGAATAAGTAATCGGGCCAAATTACAGCCGGCACCATTCATTTCCAGCGGCCAGAGGCTGCGTTCAGCTACAGACAACGCTGCTGCCTTTCACTGTTAGTTCTGGAATGGAAGCCGGTCAGAGAGCAGAACAGACCTCCCCAAAGCCAGGGAGGTGCCCAGTCCTGGAGAGCAGCCCCATGATCAGAAGGGCCAGAGTCAAGGAGTTCCCCTCCCCTTTACCGGAGGACCTATGCCCCTCAAACAATGCCTTACGTGCCCTCCCCGAAAAAAGAGGGAGCCAGGCTAGGCTAGGAGAGACTGAGGGAGCCACAAAACATAGTGAGTACATGAGACAGGAGAGGGGAGGAGGCTGCCAAACCCTCCTCTCTGCCCCCTGCCATGCATGAGCACACGCGCGCGCGCGCGCACACACACACACACACACACACAGTTGTCCATTATCAAGAGCAGCAGTGCTAAGAGCCTTGGATCCTTCAGATCTCCTGAGACTCAGTCCCTTCAGTTTCCCTGGGCCACTGGGGCCCACACAGATCCTCAGCACTCTCCTCCCTACAGCCCTGGAGCCCCGCACACATCCCAAACCCCACCATCTCAGCCAATCTGCAAAGGTTCTTGGAGGGTCTCCCCAACTTGGCTCAAAGCCACTCACTCTCTGTGGGCTTCAAAGCTGCCCAGGGTGTTGAATCGGAGAGGCGATTCCCTGCCTGCGCCAAGGACCCCAGACATGCAGGCTCTCGCTTCAAGAAGTCAAGCCTCCAAATAAGAACCAGTTGGAAGACTAGAAGTCACCACAATCCTCCTCCAAGGGGTCTGGCGTGAGGGGCAGTCCTCCTGGTCAGAATGTGCAGCCCTAACAACAGGACAGACCAGTGATGCAGGAAGTGGCTGGTCCTGCAGATGGGGGTGGTGCTGTCCCCCTGGACGGCTTTAACCACACTCTTGGTCAGATGGCCTTTCAAAGGCCATCAGATAGAGACTCCAAAGAAAGCGGAGGAGCTGAAGGTCAAATGATCAGTCTGTTGGGTTTTGATTGCAAAGGCCAGGAAATCTTATCAGCCCTGCTCTCGGTGCTTTATTGATTATCAGTGGCCAGAAGCAGTCACAGACAATCAGTCCTGGCCACTCCCAAACAGCTAAGCCTGAGAGGCTCAAGACACCGGAATTAGGAAAGAGTCCCCAGAGGACAGAGGAAGGAAGAGGTCTGGGAGTACAGGAGATGGGGTTCGACTTTCCACCCCAAAGGATGCTTGGTGGACCTGCCCAACACACACCCGGAGCCCCTTCTCGCAGTGGAAGACATACCCTGCCGACCTACTTGTACCCTCAAAGGTCATCCTAAATGTCTGCACAGACAGCTAGCTCAGCGAGGCGCGAACAGACTAACGGGGGACTGTGAACAGCCGCTCTGAAGCCCAGCTGTAGCCAAGGTGCAAAATTATGCCTGTATTAATGGAGATTATGCTCCAAAACGCCAACTGCTAACAGCTGTTCCCTGACCAATCAGAGCCTGGGTGTTAAAGCCTCAAGTCAAGTACCATTTGGCTCCCCAGATGGCAGTTGTAGGGAAACATGGCAAGGCTGGTTCAGGTTCTCCCACAGCCCACATGATGTCTGCTGGGTGGACAGCACATTCCCGACTTCAGTGGAGAGGCAAAGCTTCAAGAGAAGAAGAAAACAGAAGACGAGATACACTCAAAAGTCCCTCCGCCTTCCAGAATAAAGTGGAGGACTGCAGAGACCTTGGTCAGAGAATGGAGGTCTTTAAAAGATGGTGTTGGCAGAGAATAGTGAGATTACCATGGACTGCCAGAAGAACAAGCAACTGTCTTAGAAGCACAACCAGAATGTTCCTTGGAAGGGACTGAGTCTTTGAGGAAGCAGAAAACCTCATCTTTCTCCCTCAGATCAGCTGATGGGTTTGAGAATTGCCAACCTTGCAGTTAGCAGTTCAGTGCTTATCCCACAGCGCCACTAGGGCTCATCATTAGTCATCAGAGAGATGCAAATCAAAGCCACAATGAGATTCCATTTCATTGCCATTCAGTAGTTCGAATCCACCAGCTGTTCCATGGGAGAAAGATGAGGCTTTCTGCTCCTATAAAAGTTTACAGCCGTGGAAACCCCACACAGGGTTGCTATGAGTCGGGACCGACTCAACAGAACACCACCACCACCACCACCACCACCAGGATGGCTAAAATAAAAATTTAATTAAAAGAAGACAGCACGACTATGAGGGTTGGAAATGTAAAGGTGGACGTTCTGCAGTAAAAGGCGGGGAGTGATTGACTATGCAGTCCAGGGAGCCGAGGTCCCTGGAACCATCAAAGGAGAAGAGCAGAGTGTGAGACCCTCCCCAGAGAAGCAGTGATGCCAGAGATGGAGGCAGAGACGATGATGTGGAGAGATGGAGCAGCTGGGGACTCTAGATCCAGAGAGGGAGAGGGGTTGTGTGCTGACGACCGGGGGGCAGGCTTGCAGGGTATACCCCTTGGTTGGTTGATGATGTATGGAGAGGATTGTAACCATGGCAATGAAATAATATATGATAAGGATGAATGTAAAGCTAATATTCTCCCATGAAAATAAACTACCACATAATTCACAATAAAACATTAAAAAAAAAAAGACAACAAATGTTAGTGCGAATGTGGGGAAATGCCAACCCGATCCATTGCTAGTGGGAATGCAAAATGATACAGCTGTTGACACCAGCGAGCCTCTACATGAAGGTGTTCAGCTCCAGCTCCATGGGCAGCAAGCCTAGCTCCACCAAGTACCCAGAGGCACCTTGCTCCTACACGGAAGCCCTTAGCTCTTTGGGCGGGGAGTCCACTGTACTGTCTCGTGCCAGTCTCTCAGATGTCCTGCTCTGCTGTGGCCGTATGTCTGCTGCTGCTTCTCACCATCTCTGGTGTTAGAGTTCTCTGCCTCCTGGAACTAAGAGGTTCCCAGCATAGAGACCCCGGGTCCAAGGGACAATCTCAGTTCCCTTGTCTTCTTAGTGGGAATCGGGTCCCCTTTCTCTGCTCATCTCTCCCTTCTTTTATCTCTTGTCAGACAATGACTAAGGAAGACCAGAGGAGAACTGCTGCATTTGGATGATGCTGTTGGTGGTGAAGACTAGTGAATATACCACAACTGCCAGAAGAAGTACCGCCAGAATGCTCCATGTTTTGTTCTGTTGTCCATAGGGTCTCTATGAGTTTGAACTGACTAGAGGGCACCTAGCTACAACATAAAAGCTGTGACGCAAGCAGGGGGTCAGCTTCAGTAAAGGGATGAAGGGTAGTGACAAGTCACACCCTCTAGCAAAGTGGCGACTCAAGAGACATCCCACCCTAATCTCGCCTTATTAGCATAAAGGGCCTTATTCCAAAACGGGACAATAACTACAGATACGCTGCTATTGTATTGTGAAGTGCCATCAGGTCGGTTCCTGTAGAGGGAACCCTGAATAGAGTTTCTGAAGAGCAGCGGGTGGGTTTGGACCACTGCCTTTGTGGTTAGCAGTCCAGTGCTTACCCTACAGCGCTACACCAGGAAACCAACTACAGGCATAGAGACTAGGATTTACGACACTTGGCAAAACATCAGACTATGGCTAGCGGGGCCGTATTAAGTCATTCACTGCACCACAAGATCACACGGACAGCAACAACTTGGAAGATTGGATAGGAAACTTAAGAGGCAGTGAGTTTATGTTAATCGGGAAGGAACAACTCAGAAAAAGAGGGTAAGAATAGTTGCACATCTTGAAGAAAATCATCAATGCTTTTGTTCTTGTCAAAGTTGTTACTTCGGTGCATGTTTTCCTGTGGCTATCCTCAACAATAAGAAAAATTTTTACACAGAGGCGACCGAGTTCACACTGAAGGGCCATGGCAGTGGGTGGGAGGCAGGAAGCTGAGGAAGTGGAAGAGGAGAGTCCCGCCAGCCCGCCTGGTAATGGATGTCCTGGGATAATAGGCACTGAAGGCTACGATTCTGTATTAGCCCAGAGGCACTGCAAGGTCAGTTTGAACCACAAGGTCAGCGGTTCAAGCTCACCAGCCACTCCTCAGAAACCCTGTACAGAGTTGCTATGAGTTGGAACCAACTCTACCACATCAAACAACAATCACTCTCCAGGCAGAAAAGACACGCTGGATGGCGGTAAGCAGGATCCTCAGATCTGCTTCTGCCTCGGTGCCCTGAGCAGGCAGGAACAGTTCCCAGGAGGGCAGATGGAACAGAGGACCCTGGAATTGGCAGGCTCTATGGATGCTGGGGGAGGGGACAGAGGGAGCAGGGGGAGCTCCTCAATATGGCCCAGACCACCAGGCTGACACGTCACCATAGCAAGCCCTGAGCCTCTACCCCATTTTGCAGATGAGAAGATTGAGGGCAGGGTCTACATCTCAGGCAGATACACAGCAGGTATTACATACCGCCCCCTGGCCTGGAATAATGACCTCACACAAGGGCCCTAGGCTGCTGTGCCTGAACCTAACCCACCGCCACCTCCCTGCCACACGCAGCCCACACCTCACCCAGGGGCCGGCCCCACCCATGCCAGGCAGCAGTAACAGGGCCCACTGGGGCTAAAGTCTTGGGCATGTCACCAAAGTGAGAATTTCAGGATGAACAAACTAGACCCCACCCATTCTGTCACTGAGGCTCTGCCCCTTCCCTTCACCAGATGGGCTGCCAGGCTCAGGTAGAGAACATGCCTATCAATGGGTCTGACCACTCTCTCTACTCTTTCTCTCCTTCCTACCAACAGGCCCAGCACTGCCCTGCACCCCATGCACCCACATAACTGCCTGGAATGCTCCTTACTTTCCCATCCAAGTGGCATGGCTGGCAGGAAGCCGGGGCACGAAGAGGATGGACTTCTTTGTGTCCACATGGATTGCGCCGTAGCAGCCAGGCTCGGTGACCCCGAATGCCCAGTGAAAGAAGGACTCCTGGAATGAGGACAAAAACCCAGTCAGCAGGCACAGGGACGGGGGACTGGACCCAGCATCTTGCTCCCTCACCCTGGAAACAGCCTCCCAACATCCCCAGATTCCCCTCACCACCACCACCATCTCAGCATGCTGCTCCCTGCTCCATTGACAGCCTGTCCCTTTCCATCCCGGCTTCACGTCTTCTCTGATGGGGAGGGTCTCACACACAAGCCCAGCCTTACCCTCATATTCACCACGCCCACTGTACACAGAGGCCCAGGTCTGAGTGACCAAGGGCATGAGCACCCTCCAGGCCAGTGTGAACTCAATGCCTCTCTGCCTCCCCTGCTACCAGCAGGCAAGCAAGAGACCACCTGGATCCAGGCACCAGGGCCAGGTATCTGCACTGAATCTATCCGTCTACTTAGGACTTTGTACTTCCCTCTCCTAGTCCCAGGGGCAGCTGGTGACTTCAGGGTTTAGCAGTAAACACTGAGCTGAACTAACTCCACAGAGATATGAAGCAGAGAACGAGGAAGGGTCTCATCTCAAAGTACCACAGAATAACATCAGTAAAGGAGCCAACAGCTGAACTGAGGAAAAGGGTGTGGAAATCACAGGATGTGGAAATCTCAGGACGTATCAAGATGATTCAGAAACAATTGTACTCAAATGTCCACCTCTCCGGCAGCCAGGAAGGGGCAGGCTCACAGCTGCATGAACACTGCATGAACAGAGGGAAGGGATCCTTGGGGAAGGGGGCGCTTTCTGAACATTCGGCAATCACGGCAATCACGCTCCACAGTGCGTTTCTGTGTAGATGCAGCCCCGCTGGGAAGCCCAGCTCTGCTACCCCTCCCTAGACAGTATGTGTGAAAGGCACTGCCCACCTGCTGTTACCACTGTGGCTGGACCCTAGCCCGGGGCGGGGCAGGGGGGCAAACAGAAGACAGAAGACGGGGTTCTAATACCAGCTTCAGTCATTGGCAAGTCATTTCCCCTCAGAACCTCAGTTTCCTCATTTGCAAAGTGGGCTAGGGACTGAGTGTGGGCCTGACTCAAGTCTCTCAGGTTTCCCATGTGAACCCCTTGTGGGGGGAGGAGGGGCGGGGACAAAGCACTACCAGGAAGGGCTGCCATATGCATGCTGGCACCCTGAAACTGGGCCGGCCACCACCCCAACTGGTTCCAGAAGCTCAGGAAGTCCTGGGACTTTCAGCTGAGGACACGCAGGCTCAGTGAGGGTCGCAACATCAGCACTGTCCAAGTCAGGATGAAAGTCCAGGCCTCGCCACTCTCATGTCCCCTACCAGACCCCTGCAGCCTCACCCTCTTCACTGCAGGCAGTCCGGCCCAGGGACCCACCTCTGCTGCCCCTTCTATGCCCACCCTCCTCCCACCTGTCAGAATTCAGCTTGGTCTTCAAGGCCCACGCCAAATGCTGTCTCCCCCATGAAGCCTGCTCCCTCCCCAGCAATGTCAGTTCCGACTCTGCACTGGGAGAGCTGAGGCTGGTGAGGGACAGGCTCACCTGGCGGAAGAGGACTCCGGTGTCCGTGCAGTAGCGCTGTGTCTCCTCACCGCCCTGCAGCAGCACCACAGAACCCGACTGCACGGCCGCCTTCTGCAAACGCTCACACAGCCGCTGCCGGTTCAAGGCAAAGAGCGCCAGCGGCACCTTGAGTGTTTCATTCCCCAGCCAAAATGAAGGTCTGTAAAGACAGGAGACACACGGCCACAGGGGCCTCCATCAGCACCGTGAAACATCTGGAAGGGTAAGCCCGCTGTGGCAACCCGAGGACCACAGAGCCCCTCCCTGCACCTGCCACATTACCCACACCTGTGGATGAGGCACACCTGGGCCTGGTTCACCAGAGTGGGCAGGTGAGGCCCCAGGAGGCAAAGCCTGCACAATTCAGAGAAAGGCCCACTCCACTCTCCCCTCAAGGAACTTCCGACCTGGAGCAGACAACACCGCATCCGTGTTCCTGCCTGCTTGCAGCCTTCTCTGTGCACTGAAAGCCCCTCAGTCCTCTCCCCACACAGGCCCGCGGCACCAGGCCTAGCTCCCACCCTGCTGGCTTACCGAAAATGAAGGAAACTGGTACACTCTGAGAGGCCAGCTCATCTGCCCGCACCCACTCCCCAAATGCTCCATCTCTTTCCACACCCTTCCGCCCCTGCCTTCCCCTTCACTGTGCACTGCACATCTATGTCCCCTCTGTGGGGTCACCCTCAGCTTCCACACATAGAGTAGTAATGTGCCAGTTCAAAAATACAAAAGAACTTCCCTTGACCTCCACCCCATCCTTTTCTCTCTTCTCACTGGCAGCAAAAATCCTATAGAGTCTCCCAAACCCACCATCCCAAAGTCCTGGCTGCCCATCCTCCCATCGATCCACCTAATCAGACCACAGTGACGTCCACACTACTGAGTCCACTTAAGAGGTCCCAGGCTCTCCACAGCCATGACTCCACTGAGCACCAGCCCCTGCAAACTCTCCTCTCCTTCCATTCATCCTCCAGGTCTCTTCCTAACCTCCTCCCTCAGCACAGCTGATCCCACCCCACCCCACCACCCCCTCTGTTCTCCATTAAGTGCCCTCTGTACCTAAGGCCCATGATATCCTACTCCAGGTTCACAAACCCCAGGGCCCATCCGACACCTCCTCTCAGATATCATCAGCCCATTCAAATAACACGAGCACAACACAGATGGAGCCCCCTGCCACACGCCACCAGCCACGCCTTGGAAACCCTATACAGGGTAGCTATGGGTCGGCACCGACTCGATGGCACTTAACAACAACAGTGTGTGGTGCTGTGGGTTAATGCATTGGAGTATAATGTCAGTTTGAACTGCAAGGTCGGAGGTTCAAAGTCACCAGCCACTCCTTGGAAATCCTGTACAGGGTCGCTATAAGTCAGAACCGACTCCACAGCACATAACAACAACAACAGTGTGGAGTCCTGGTGTGGCGCTGTAGGCTAATGCACTGGACTGCAAAGTCGTTTGAACCACAAGGTCAGTGGTTCAAGCTCACCAGCCACGCCTTGGAAACCCTGTACAGGGTTGCTATGAGTCAGAACCGATTCCACAGCACATAAAAACAATAACAGTCCCCAGTCTGCAGGCTGGAGGGACACCTGGACCTGTCACTTCACCTCCTTGACCTCTCTCCAGCCACAAAGTCTTACTGGGGCCTAAACCCCAAGCAATTTCCCATTTGAGAGTCTTTGCTACTACTGTTCCCTGCTAGGAACATTCTGCTCCTAGGTGCCCACGTGGCTCACTCATTCATTCTGCCTTCTTTTCCTAGTGGGCCCATCTAAACTTGTCCATTTACTCTGTGTCCCTCCCCTTTCGTACGCTTGTCACTACCTCACACCCATCACCACCTAACATTAGAGATCCATCGCTGGTCTCTTCAGCTAAAACAGAAGCTCCAGTGAGGAGAGTTTCTTCATGTGGTTCCTGGTGCCTAAAACAAAGGCCCCAGAAGGGCCTCCGATGCTCAGTATCTGCTGAATGAATGAATAAAGGATGGAAGGCAGGACAGCCCATTACTGGTTCCATCACAGGGTGAGAGAAGGGAAGGCTCTGCCCTCTAGCCCCCAACTGCAGTGGGAGAGGTTGACGGAGCCGTCCCCTCTCAGTGTGGCTGCCTCCAAGAGGCCTCAGACACCTCCTGTCATGGGACCCTTAGAGCCCAATGCCACTAACAAAGTGGGTGGATGGACGCAAAGTGGTATACCCAAGACACCTAAGCAGGCGACACCCCCCACCCCCCCACACACACACCTTGGCACCAATGCCAAGACTTCACTCTTTAAACCCTCCCCACTCCCAGTATCCAGCTTTCAGCACTTGGTCTGGGCTTTTTTCACAGTCCTCAGATACACCCCTGCACCCTGCTCTGGGCCTGGAAGCCCACCAACATGGACGTCATCACCAGCGGGTGGGATTAGCCAGTGGGAGGCAGAGACTGGCAGGTAAGAGGGTGGGCTCCCTCCCCAAGGAGCCAGACCCCCTGTCCTAGCACACAGCTCTCCTATTCCTGAACAGCATGCCTCGTCTTCTCTCCTGGGTTCTCTTTACCTGGCTCGCCCTGAAGTCTTCCTGCACAGACACCCAGTCATCCCTCTGAATGAATGATTTGCATCCCGCCAGGTCCCTGACCGACCCGACACGGGTCGCCTTGGGGGTTTGCTGCCCACTAGAATGTAAACTCCATGAGGACAGCCTCCTAGATCTGCTCTGGTCATAGTATGTACTCAATACATATTTGCTGAATAAACCTCTGTCATAGTTGACACATGGGGTCACACTCAGCTGTACAGATGAGGAAGCCCAGTGGGGCTGGAACCACATCAGCCCCACCCCCACCCCCACCCCCCACCGTGGGGCCAGAAGCAGGTCCTGGAGTCCTAGGCTGGCCTCCCTGGGCACATGCCCCATCAGCCCCCTAGGGAGACTCAGGCATCTGGGCTGCTTTTCTGCCATCTCAGCCACAGGGATTCCTGAAAGGCAAAGGCCTCAGGGATGGTGTCCCCACAATCAGGAACTGAAAGTGCAGCCAGAGCACCCATGCACAGAATCACCCCCCCGCCCCAAGTCCCGAGTAAAGCCCACAGAGGCTGGGGGAGTGGGGGAGGGAGGGTAGCATGGGGAGGAAACACATCTCTTCAGATTCTCCAAGAGCCCAGAGTTAAAGACACCAAGACAACAGGTCCAGGTGGTCTCAGCCAAAGCGGCCCCAGATCCACCTGGGCCTGTCACCCAACGTGTCACCCAACTGCACCACCAACTGAAAATGCCTGGTCCCCATCCACCCAGCCTGCAGCACTTAGCCTTGCCCCCTCATCTCCCACCCCTCACTCTCCATCTGCCTGAGATTCCTTCCTTAAACACCAGGTGCCTAGTACCCCCTGCCCGGTCCTCAGAAGGCTGGGACGCCTCTTGTCCACAGATCTTCTGACAGGCCTGACTCAGGGCACTGAGGACTACCCAAGTCAGAACAGAAACCCCAGAAGGTATCTGCTGCTCAAGCAGTCAGTGGTAACTGAGGGGAATCTATAAGAATCCTCATTCTCTGCAGGGTCCACTCCCAAGAAGAGCAGCCTGGCCTGAGTCACCAGGAGGGACAACACATAGCAGTCAATAGTTACCAGAGGCCACCCGTGGAATCCAGAGTATAGAGGCTGGGCCTTTGACTTCTCCCAGTGCAAACCAAACGTTCAAAGACACTGTCAGGCCTAACGCCAAAGCAGATGACTTCTCCCTACAAATTCCACAAAAACAGCGCCAATAAAACCTCTCCAGCTGGATTCTGCTTCAGCTTTTGTTAACTGGCACCTGGAATTTAAAAGGCAAAGGCCATGTCATCCCTCCAAGTCCCAGCACAAATAAGGCACGCCTGAATGCAGGTGGCCGAAAGCCCACACAATGCCCCATTAGCTCTCTGCTCTGCGGAAGAGCAGCAAAGGTTGGCTGACCAGCAACTGCCATGTATCAAAAGGACTCACTGAGCAATCTTTCAGCCCCCACAGAGTAGCTATTGTCCCTCCCATGCCCAGTTATCAGTCCCAGGCTGAGCTAAGGGGACCCAGATCCCAGAAGGGTATGATCCCTGGCCCCATTCAACACCCCCAATTCATCAATGGCCCCCTGTAACGTTCCTACCCAAGGCTCACAGAACCCTGGGGATTTGTACATAGACACCAGGGCCACTGGGAACCTGGGTGGAATCAAAAGACCTATCTTTATTTTCTCTAACCTCTCACTCAGATTTACATTTCCTTCCAAACAGAATGTAAACAGCTAACACAGCATTATCCACAGTGCATTTGAATCTGTCACCAACAGAAATCAAGAGGTATTTTCATACCACATTATTGTTGCAATATCTCAAGCTATCATTTACGCTCATCACTACTTCCAAATTAGACCTGCTGCTAGATGTTTATTTCATATGACAACACAGAGGTGTGTATTACCATATCACAAATTAAACAGTATGTTAACTATATCTCAATAAAATTGGTTTTCCTTGGAATCCTGTGTTTTTATTTCAAGCATTCAAACCATTATGCTGAGAAGGGACCATACTTTGTTTTATCATTGGGATCCCAGGCACAGACAGGGGCCACACCCTTGCACTAGAAATGAAACCTCGTCGGGAGTGGATCACACTTTCAACCTTAGAGGGACACCCTGCCTGCTTTCTCACCTCACACCTGAAGCCTCAGCTTGGTACAAGGTACCAGCCAGTAAGGCCAGCCCAATCACCCTGGTGGGAGGGAGACTGACAGGCACAAAGGGACCAAGGGGGCTGTGGACTGCTGAGTCTGAGAGAGAGATGGGAGTAAGTTCTGCAGAGTGGGCACTCAGTAGCCAGCCTGCCTCTCACAGTCTCACCCCTAACCTAAGGTCAGCCCGAAACCTCTGCTCCCAGAGCACAAGGGTCACTTCAGGATGGGGACAAACATGACTCCTTCAGGCCTGTTCCCTGCAGAAGAATGCTGACTCTAACACGACCTATGGCACAGCAGGTACACACCCAGGGCCACTTGTCCCCAGCAGAGAAAGCTCCCTGCAGCGTCTCAATTAAAGAACCAAAGCCATTTCTTCATATTCCTTCCCAGGGTTCTATCCCACCACTGACCCTTCTCCTCACTCACTGTGAGTCTCCCAGGAAAGCTGCGGGGGTTGGGGGACTATCTGAACTAACTGAGAGTAAAGCCCCCTTCCATTCATTCAGTTTTCACCCAGCCCCAATCACAGGGCAGCCACAGGATGCCCGCACACGCTTGAAGGGAAGCAACCCCTCACCCAGCCAGGAGAGGAAGACATAGCTTATGGAGAACAATGGGGGTCTTGGAGTTCTGAGCAGGTAAGAAGGAGGAGTATCAGAACAGGCTTTGGGGAGGACAGGACATCTGAGCAGTCCTGCATGTGTCTGTATTGTGGGAGGAGTTGCCCTGAAGTGACCTTGTGCTCCCAGAGCAAAGGCCTCAGGCTAACCTTAGGTTGAGGGTGGGTCTATGATGGGAAGGCTGGCCACTGAGTGCCTTCTTTCCCTCTTTCATCTCCCCAAGTCCGTACACAATGATGTCAGGGGAAAGGGCATTCCAGGTCAAAGGGAGGAGGAGGAAGTCAAGAACCAAGTGGGGAAGAAAGTACAGACAGGTCTGGCTGGAGCCAGAGATCAAAAGCCTAACTAACCATGGAAAACTCAGAGTGAGGCTCAAGGAGGAGGCAGCACCCCCTCCCACTAAGTGCCGGTGGAACAGGGCTTATGCCAGGGGGTCATCTCAGAGCAGACCCTCTGCAGAATTCTTATCTTAAACCTGGAGCGTCTAGTCATCCAGACACTCTGGCCTGGCCTGTGAGTTCCGCTGTGGGGTGACACTCTACTGGAAATACAAACTTCTTCGCTTTAAGGAAGCCACTGGGGCACAACTTAGTTGTTGTTGTGTGCCGTAGAGTCGGTTCCAACTCATAGCGACCCTGTACAGAGTTTCCGAGGCTGTGAATCTTTACGGGAGCAGAAAGCGTCATCTTTCTCTCGCGGAGCAGCTGGTAGTTTTGAACTGCTGACCTTGTAGCTCGCAGCCCGATTCGTAACCACTACACTACCAGAGTTCCTTGGGGCACAACTTTAGGCTCCAATTATATGCCAGGGCAGCCCATACTAGCTTGGGATGGTTCTTCCCTGTCAAGCTCTGGAAGTTTCCCTTCCAGTAGCATACCTCTCTAAGACCTGTCAGCCCTCACCCCTCAAGCATTCCTGCGCCACAGCCCAGAGAACCAGCTTGTTCTTAGCCTTGTCTTTGCTCAAAGAACCCTTCTCCAGGCTCCTGCCAACTCCAAGCTCATTCCCATCCAATCACCCAAGCTGACTCCTCTGTACCTGCAGAGAAACAGCAGTCTCAGGCCAGTCAAGGCCCTGAACCCAACTGCAGCCCCTGGATGTCCCTGGGGACAAGAGACTCACATCTGGGTACTACCTGCCCCAATATACTCACTCTGTTCTTTAATGCAGAGCTACAGGCTGAATTCAAGGATCTTACTCTAGGTTCCTTAACAAACACCTGGGCCTTTACACCCACAGAACCCCACCCAGGGGCTTGTCTCATTGCTCAAGGACTAGCACAGATGTCATCCAGAGCTTGAAGTCTTCCCTGGGCTCAGAACCCATGTCCCTCCATGGCACACATCAAAACCAGAGACGGACATCTGAATGACAGGGTTCCTCCCATGCCTGCCTTGTCCAGTGGTGTGAGCACACTAGTCAGGTCCTGTACTGGGTCTGGAATGCAGCAAACACCCACTGAATGTTTAGCAAGTATGTCCTAAACTCTCCCAACGTTGGAGGCCAATTAAGAGCCCATTTTTCTGTTACTATTCACTCTACCTCCCAAAACAAGAGACTATTCAGTTCACCAGTTCCTGATCTTTGTTCCCAATCTGGAGCGTTGTCCCCTTCTACTGCTACTCCTCCTAGCCCCCAGCACCACTAGGCCCATGCCCTTTCCCCATTACTCCCTCTGCACAGATAAGTTATTTCTAAAAAGATCTGAGATGATTAAAACCCTACTAGGATTCTAGCCCCTCAGGACAGTCTAGAGAGGTCACCTGGGACACCAAGCCCAGGGAATTTGCCCAACTTCTCCCTGTGAGGTTAGCCCAGGATCGGGCAGAGTTTCATTTTACTGTGCATAAGGTTGCTATGGGTCGGTACTGACTCAATGGCACCTAACAACAACAACAACAACTCCCTGTCCACAGCTAACTTTCAATTGCTTTCTCTCTCAACCTTGGTTCCAATGCTCCCTCAAGTGAAATTCCTGCCAATGTTTCAAGGAATCAAAACTTCCACACTTTCTTCTACTAGAAACACTAATCCTATCTTTAATTAAACAAAACTTATTGGGCACCTGGAGTCCTGGTGTGGCACTGTGGGTTAATGCACAGGACTGCAAAGTCGGTTTGAACTGCAAGGTCTGTGGTTCAAGCTCACCAGTTGCTCTTTGGAAGCCCTATACAGGGTCGCTATGGGTGGGAACTGACTTGATGGCACTTAACAACAAAAACATTGGGCACCTAAGATGAGCTGGTGTAGGTGTGGTACAGTCTTAGGTCCTGGTGTGGCACTGAGAGTTAATGTGCAACACTGCAAGGTCAATTTGAACTGTAATATCAAGGGTTCAAGCCCACCAGCCACTCCTCAGAAACCTTATACAGGATGGATATGAGTCAGGACTGACTCCAAGGCACTTAACAACAACAAAGGATGTGCTGGCGGTGCTGAAGGTTAAGTATTGGGCTACTAACCTCAAAGTCGGCATGCAAACCCACCTCTGGGGAAAATGAGGCTGTCTGTTCCCATAAAAATGTATAGTCTCGGAAGCATTGTACAGGATCGCTAGGAGTCGAAATCAACAGGATGGCAATGGGTGGGTATTGGGAACCTGCTTTGTGCAAAATACTGTGTTAGTGAGGCACAGCTATGAGCCAGAGAAAGGTCCTGCCCTTACATTCTAGAGGGGGAGAAGACACTGATCAAGTACATAGCTTATCACGAGATGATAAGACCAATCAAACTCGTTGCAATCAAGTCGATTTCTACTCATAGCGACCCTGTAAGGACAGAGCAGCAGTGCTCCAGTTTCCCAAGGCTGTAAACCTTATTTTAGTAGAGTGCCACACCTCTGTCCCATTCAGGAGATGCAAAGAGATGCAAAAAGTAGAATTTTTTAAAAGTGGGTTATGGAAGGTTTCTCTGACGCAATGTCCCTGGACTCTTGAGAAATGTGGGCAAGTAGCCTGCTGGGAAAAGGAAGTCCACCACAAACATCATTTCCCCGGGAAGCGTCCGAGTATGTGGAGCCCTGGCAACACTGCCTTCCCAATTGAGGGTCCCCGACCTCGGCCGCAGACGCAGTGAGGGGTCTGGAAGGCAGGGCAGCCCCAATGCTGAGTGCGGAGTGGGATGGATGGGGACGGAGATGGTTGCAGGAACCAGCGTCCAACACCGATTCGGAACGGCCATTCTGACCCGGCGATCGGTGGCTGGAACCTGGGAAGAAGTGAGGCGGAGCCGCTCACCCACGGCCCAACCAGGAAGACCGAGCCCGCGGGATCGAACGAAAGACAGAAGCAGCACTCACCGTGCGGACGCCGCCATGTTCCCCCGGCACTAATGTCACGTGAACCGTAGCGTCAGCTGAGTCCCGCTGGGTTCCACCGTTGTAATATTGGCTGAGGAGCGGGGCTGGCCCCAGAAACCGACCACTCAGGGCCGGAGGGGCGGGGCCACTGAGAAGCGGGGCGAGGATCCACCCCCTGGCCGCTTCCCAAATTGTGATAACTTGGGAGAGAGAGGCCGGGTTGAGTGTCCGTAAGCCTTGTGAGGTTGGCCCAGGATCGGGCAGTGTTTCGTTCTGCTATGCATAAGGTCGCTATGAGTCGGTACCGACTCAATGGAACCTAACAACAACAACAAGCAGTGTATTGCCAGTGCGAGGAAAAATTTCATTATCTTTCAATTCCATTTTTCCATTAACTTTTTGAAGCCCCTTTGTATACCTGGATCCTGGTTCAACTCCAACTGGCCCAAGGAAAGGAACATAGGAATGAAGACAAAGGAGGGGAGGGAAACAGGAACAGTTGTTGCTTAGGAAGGGAAACAGCTTGACCAAAGGTCGGAAAGATTGGAGGAATCTAAACCTAGGGGAAGGGTTGCTGGGAGTGAGCGGTGCCGCCTAAGGGGTGAGCAAGGGCCAAATCCTGTATCCTGAAATCATGGCAGGATGTTTTTAAGTTCCCTTTGCTGCGGAGTGGAGAAGAACATGGAGGAAAGGAGCCCACTGAGAAGTTGACACAATGCAGAGGCATTCAGGGGAGGGGGCGTTCAGGAGGGCTCCCCCTCTTTCCTGTTGGGCACTACTGTTAGGTGCTGCTAATCCACAGACATTTCTTTGTGGTAGTGGGTAAGACAGTAGCAGGATCCTCCCTGGTCTGCGCATGCACCAGAATAACAATACTAGCAACTAATGACATAGGTACAAAGCACTAACTGTACCAGAAACTGGCCAGAATCTGTTGGTAATATTAACTCATTGAAATCTCATTATAGCCTTCTATCCTTAATGCCATTTTACAGATGAAACGGGGACACAGAGAGGCAGGTAACTTACCTGAGCTCACAAAGCTCTTGAATAGTGAGTTGAGGATGCATACATAGCACTAACACGCCTAAGTAGTGCCCCACACTGCCCCTGTGAAGAAAGGGGTCCCATGGCTGATGGATGGACATGTAGGGCCATAGAACTCCTGACTCCAGACTCCAGCTGTCTCACAGCTGCAAGTAGCATCTGTCTGGATTTGGGGCAGCTCTTGTGTGTTGGAATCCTGGTGAGGCCCTGTGGACTAATGCATCAGACTGCAAAGTCGTTTGAACTGCAAGATTGGTGGTTCAAGCTCACCAGTTGCTCCCTGGGAACCCTATACAGGGTCACTATGGGTCAGAATCAACTTGACAGCACTTAACACAACACACTTGTGTCTTCTATGAGACAAGGATGTGGGTCTCCATGACTGGGTTGTGGAATTCCAGTAGTAACTGCTGTTTGTCCTCACAATACCAGGAAAAGAGCAGCCCCAAATAGAATGAGGACTTTAACCAGGATGGGAGAAGGGTACATGATCTGTCAGGTAGGAACTAATGTTAACAAGTTTACAAGGCTTCTTGTAAGAGGTGGCCAGCAAATGTTACTGGAGGCACCTTTAACCAGTGACAAAGCTATAGAAGCCAAAGTCATCAGAGGGGAGGTGACACCTCCAGACAGCCCTTCACACCTCCCTGGCCCAAGGACGCAGAGGAGAATCCCATCCTTCCTCCTCCTTCCCACCACACACATGCACTGCTATCCCTCCAGGCCAGGTGTGCCCAGAAGGAGCTCTGTGGTCCTTCTAGGGTCCATCTTCTTGCCAGTTTCCAGCATAAGCACAAGACCCCTCTCGGGCACACACTCCCCACATTCATGCCTGGCCTAGGGCCACTGAAAATTCAGGCTCCTATTCAGCAGTAGCTTCCTCTGCCACTGAATAGACTCTGCTGCTTAATAAGGAAGATGCTTTTAAAATACCAAACGGTGAGCAGAATGAGTTCTAAATCTCCTTTGTACAAAAAGGAAAACCTAGGATTTCCTGTAAGATGGCGGACTAGGCAGACTCACTACGCAGTCCCTCTGCAACCAAGGTATGAAAGACCAAATAAAACAGACACAGATCAAAATCCTGGACCCCTGAACTTCAGAAGAAAGGTTAGAGTGAATCGAGAACTTTCTGTGAGGAAAAGCTGAGCAGGGATAGCAAGAGAAGGAGATTGACTGGTGAATGACTGGCCAGATGTGGTGCAACGGTTCTGAATCTTTGTGAGAAGCTTTGGTGACAGAAGGTGGCCTGGCAGACCAGAGTCACACAGGTGACTGGAAAAGTGAGATTCCTTCTTTTCCTCCACATTCCCCTGATAACCAACAGTGTAGCCAAGCTCCCACCCTCATCTACCCCCCCAGTGCTGACCCTGCTCTCAGGAAAGTTCAAAACCAAATGGTTGGGATCCCCACAATGTGAGTCTGGGGCAGCTGAACCACCTTGGTGTGCCATTTTGGTGCCTGGATTCAGGTGGTCTCAACTTAGGACCAACAGAACCCATAAAGTCACTAGATCAACATTTAACCAATCACCCTGCCCACAGCTGCCTTGTGGTCCTAACAGACACTGAAACTAGCTCCATCAAGGGCCTCCATGAGCTGCTTCTGGATTGAGTGCCCTGAACATAGGTAATGCCAAGGCCAATAGGAATTCCACCGAAGGCCAGGAACTCTGCTGTCACTTCCTCCCATTCTCACCTCATGAGCTCCTTAGCTTGCAGGAGCACCTCCAGAATTTTCTCCTCTCTGGGTCCTAAACTGATGACAACCCAACAATGCTTCAGAGACAACAGGCAATTTTGGCTCACATGAAAGAAACAAGAGAGATGACTCAAATAAATGACCAATATGCAGAACCAGAAAATGTTTCCAAGAACTAAAACTAACTGAGAAAGAATTAAAAAAAAAAAAAAAAGATATTTAAGTACCTTCAAAGGATTGACAGAAAGATCAAGGAAAGCAAGGAAAACACAGAAAAAACTTCAGGAGAATTCAGGAAAACACTACAAGACAAAATAAATGCAAATTGTACAACAATACAAAACCTGAAAATAAAACTCCAGAAGATTATTATGAAGATTTCAGAAATGGGCAATACTTTCAAAGGGTAAAGGAGTAGATTCAAAGCAATGGAAGCCCAAATTACTGAGCTTGAAGATAAATCTCTCAATACCAGTATGCTAGTACAATCAGGGGGAAAAAAAATGAAGAAGAAAAAAAAATCTGAAGAAACCCTGAGAGCTATGTGAGACACCAAGAAGAGGCACAGCTTAAGGGTGATTGGAATTTCAGAATGGGACGAGGCAACAAAAAGAACAGAGAAAATTGTTGAAGAATTGTTGGAAGAAAATGTCTTTCATGATGTTAGCTTACAAATGCGTTGCATGCCCTCTCTTGAAGGTGAAGCAGTGTTTTTATTTGGGAAAGCAAACAAAGTGGTACAGTTCCATATCAAAGAAAAGTGCTGGGGAAGGGCAGAAAATTTACAAGGAATTGTCAAATCACAAGTTTTCTTAACAATAATTCCTAACTAAACATTAATTCTTTATCTCCTGATAGAATTTAAGTAAGACAATATCGCTAAAGCACACTGTGTAAACATTTTAATGTAAGGGCTGTTGATTGAACCTTGAAATGTTGAAGTCCTTGAAATGAAAAAACTGATTCATTTGGTTAAGAAGAAGTGAAGGTTGAATATACTCTAATCTTAAACCTTTGAAATGTTACCATTGGCAACGAGGCTAGGAGGAGAACGGAGAGTAGATGGTTTAGGGAATTTACTGAGTGGTTAAAACACCAAGTTTATTCTTGCAAGTTAGTCTAAATCTTTGTAGTCTTTGGATGCAAACCATCAGACTTTTACAGAAGAGATGCACGAAAGAAAACATGCAACCCTAACATCATGAAAGACGAGAAGATAATCATGCAAGAAACTGAACAGAACCTAAACAGGATACATCCCCAAAGAAAATCATATCATAATCAAACTTCCCAAAAACAAAGGTATAACATAATCAAACTTCCCAAAAACAAAGACAAGGAAAGAATCCTGAAAGCAGCTTGGGAAAAACGAAATGTTACTTACAAAGGAGACCCAGTAAGACTAAACTATGATTTCTCAGCAGAAACCATGCAGGCAAGAAGGCAATGGAATGACATATATAAAACTCTGAAAGAAAAAAATTGTCAACCAAGAAGAATTAGCTACTCAGCAAAGCTTTTCCTCAAATACAACAGCAAAATTAAAACATTTCCAAATAAAGAGAAATTTAAGGAATTTATAATAACCAGTACAGAAAGATGTTTACCTGTGCTATATTGACTACACAAAGTCTTTCGATTGTGTGGATCATGATAAGCTATGGACAGCATTGAGAAGTATGAGTATTCAAGAACACTTAATTGTGCCCAGGATGAATCTGTACCTGGACCAAGAAGCAGTTGTTCAAACAGAACATGGGAACATTGAATGGTATAAAACTAAGAAAGGTGTACACCAGGGTTATATTCTTTCATCATATTTATTCAACCTGTATGCTGAGCAATAATCCGAGACGCTGGCTTCTATGAGGAAAAATGTGGCATCAGGATTGAAGGAAGACTCATTAACAACCTGCAATATGCAGATGATACAACATTGCTTGCTGAAAGTGAAGAGGACTTAAAATACTTACTGATGAAGATCAAAGACCACAGCCTTCGGTATGGATTGTATCTCAATGTAAAGGGGGAAAAAATCCTCAACACTGGACCAATAAACAACATTCTTATCAATGGAGAAAAGATTGAAGTTGTCAAGGACTTAATTCTTCTTGGATTAACCACCAACACTCATGGAAGCAGCAGCCAAGAAATCAAATGACATATTGCATTAGGCAAATCTGCTGCACAAGACCTTTTTAAAGTGTTGAAGAGCAAAGGTATCAGCTTGAGGACTAAGGTGTGCCTGACCCAAGCCATGATATTTTCAATAACCTTATATGAATGTGAAAGGTGGACAGTGAATAAGGAAGACCATAGAAGAATTGA